ACAGACTGGGAAAGGATCTTCACCAACCCTATATCTGACAGAGGGCTAATATCCAGTATATATAAAGAACTAAAGAAGTTAAACAGCAAAAAAAAAAAAAAAAAATCAAGTAATCCAATTAAAAAATGGGGTACAGAGCTAAACAGAGAATTCTCTGTAGAGGAATACAGAATGGCAGAGAAACACTTAAAGAAATGCTCAATGTCCTTAGTCATCAGGGAGATACAAATCAAAACGACCCTTACACCCATTAGAATGGCTAAGATAAAAACTCAAGTGACAACACATGCTGAGGAGGATGTGGAGAAAGGGGAACCCTCCTCCATTGCTGGTGGGAATGTAAACTTGTACAACCACTTTGGAAATCAATCTGGAGCTTTCTCAGACAATTAATTAGGAATAGTGAGTGCTACCTCAAGATCCAGCTATACCTAACTCCTAGGCATATATCCAAAATATGCTCAAGTATACAACAAGGACATTTGTTCAACCATGTTCAGAGCAGCTTTATTCGTACTAGCCAGGACCTGGAAACAACCCAGATGTCCCTCCATGGAGGAATGGACACAGAAATTGTGGAACATTTACACAATGGAATACTACTCAGCAATTAAAAACAAGGAAATCGGGAAATTTGCAGGCAAATGGTGGGAACTAGAAAAGATCATCTTGAGTGTGGTATCCCGGAAGTAGAAAGATATACATGGTAATACTTATAAGTGGATATTAGACTTATAATATAGGATAATCATACTAAAATCTGTATATGTAAAGAAGCTAAGCAAGGTGGAGGACCCTGGGTAAGATGCTCAATCCTCATTCAGAAAGGCAAATGGGATAGACATTGGAAGAGGTAGAAAACAGGGAACAGGACAGGAGGCTACCACAGAGGGTTTCTGAAAGATTCTACCCAGCAGGGTATTAAAGCAGCTACTGAGACCCATAGCCAAACTTTGGGCAGAGTGCAGGGAATCTTATGAAAGAAGGGGGAGATAGAAAGATCTGGAGGGTACAGGAGCTTGACAAGGAGAGCAACAGAACCAAAAAAAATCTGAGC